TGAGTGGGTTTTCAGGAGATTGGTAGGTTAACTCTTGTGGAGCACTGTTTCTCCAAGATATTGTGTAAAGGAAAAACCATTCTAGAGAATGACTGAAAAAAAATACCAGCAGTACGAACATAAACCCAAAAATATTTCCACTTCACTTATATGTATATTTCTTTTCCACAAATAATATGTTTATAACTATGAGCGAGTCAAATCTTAGGTTTTTTCCTTCGATAATCTTGCAAACGTTTTCTGCAATCTGTTACAGATATCATTCAGAGCGTTTTTACGGATTATGCTGTTAAGGAAATATGCTGTTTTATTCTGACAACAGTACACGCTTCATTAATCTTCCATTATATCACCCTTCCGAATAAATTTGGATTTAATGTATACCTGTTCAGTTATTGGCGATTAGTACTTAATTTTTAGATTGAGTAACGACTATTTATCTTATAGTCACAAGAAAATATCTTAACATGTAGGAATGAGCTTACATTACACTGATATATTTTAAGTACAAATATTGAGGATAATCTTAACAACCAGTCATTTTCCGTCACCAAACCACCCTCAAGGCACACTTATTTTCTATGTTTATCTAATTCGTAAATCATGTTGTAAAAATAAGCCTTTGATGCCAAGTATAGCCTTTTGTTTTCCATTGGTTACAAACTTATCGCCACTCTATTTTCTAACTATTTGCGAAGACAGTTTTTCATTCTTGGAAATAACGTCTGATTGAAGAATATTGGCTAAAGATTTACAAATTACAAGGTGTTCCTTTTGTAGTTCTTAATCAAGTATCCTTAAACAAAAAACAATAATAATACAAATTATGACATTTATATTCATACTACTATATTTTCCTCTTAAGTTTAGCAAATCTACATTTGAAACTGAACTCCAGTAGGACAATAGCTATTCCTTTTTTTCTGTTTATGCGTTGAAGCATGGCTTCAAGAGTAATTTTCTGAACAAATCTTATATCACCTTGGTATATATTGTCCTTGTTTATGGTCAACTAAAACAATGGTAACTTCCACCCGTTTCAATTTTCAGTTGCATTAAACTAAAGAAACCCTTGTATTTGTAGTTTCATAATAAGCCTGATATCGATAACTTTAACGAAATTATATCTATGGTCGAACTTATCCTATATTCTTTTCATGGTTAGTTCAAAGTATTTTATAAAGCTTTCTGAATTGCGGTGATTTTACATTCAAACTTACTTCTTCAGCTTTTTTTTTTGTTTTGCTATTCACGTTATTTTGTTTTTAATCTACTAGTTCATTGTTTACTTTCCTCCCTAAATTCACAATCACATTTTATAAATATTCTTTCACTGTCCTCCAACCACTTTTTGAAAACTTACCACATTCTTGACTTTATAACCCTTTTTTTTTCTTGACACATTCTTTGTTTTGTTCTTTTAATGTATTCTGTCTTTATTTTCCAATATCCTGCCATGTTCTGGTACCACTTTGTTTAGATTCTGCAACGCCAATATTGGGATATTTCCTAAATGTTTTCAGTTTTAGTACAATGTTTTTAAGCCTATAGCGATTTTTAACTAACAAACCTACTCCTATGATCAAATCGAAATATATAAGTTTTATTGTAGTGGCATTGATAAAGACTCAAACACTTTTTGAGAATTTGAAATTTTATGTTTACTTGGTATTAGTTAACAATTAAACTATACATCCGACTTGTTGCAAAGTTCGTAATTAATTAAGACGAACACTTTTCTCAAATTTTGTAACTCTAAAGTTTCAACACAGGTAACTAATTCAAAAGAAAGAGTTCCAATGATGTCTACTTTTTATGCTGTATAGAGATAAGACTATTCCAGTCTTATTCGTAAAGTGCATTTACACGGTAAGTCTGAAACCTTATAATGCTAAAAACTGGACTTAGATACCAGTGGTGGGCACAGCACAAATAGCCAATTGTGTAGTTTGAGCTTAACTATAAACAAAAAACAACATTTATACTAAGAATATTGCCTAATTCACTAAATCTAATCAATATGTCAATATTAACTTCCAATCGGTACAAGCTACCTACTTAAATAAAAGCTAAAAATCAACCCGCAAAGCTACTCGAGGGCTATTTGGGCTAGCCGTCCCCAATTTAGAAATGGTAGACTAGAGAGAGGGCAGCTAGTTAACACCACCCACTGCCAACTTTTGGAGTACTCAGACCCGTACTCAGAATGTTTGTAAGGGGGGGGGGTTAATTTGTGTGATAAAAAGTCGACACATAAAACACCCTCACCCCAGAAAATTTGGAAAAAATAAGTGTTATAAGATTAAATATGGAAGAAATTTTGTATGAAATATAGCTTAAACATTTGCATGGCTGTTCACATAAAATCTACAAACATCCAATGAAAAGTCAACAAATAATAGTTCTGTTGTAACACTGTATGGGGAGCTAGACTCAAATTATGATAAATATGTATGTTTTATTATATTAAAGTACTGTATTATCTACATACAGAGTAGCTTTAATTGTTAAATTATATTACTAATTGAAACAACTCTGTACAACAATAGTATATTAGTTATTTCAGTCATTGGTTATCATGCACTACTGAAATATCACGTTAGCATGCTCCATTAATTTGTGGTGCTTTTCCATAAATAACTTACATACACTTTCAATGTTAATAGCAGTGTTATAATGATTATGCAGCTAGAGCATTCAGTCTATCTTCGGCTTGTGTACACCTCAGGTAATTATTGAACTAGTGGAGAGCAGATACCGAACGTTCAAATGAACATGAACTTAGTGGCTGTGTGGCAAAGAGTTTCAGTAACATAAAGATACTTGGTACACTGAAGCACACTTTTAAGCAGTCAGCCAGTATTTGGGGCCTGTTCTGGAGAGGTATAGAAAGCCATCTTGTTTTTCATCGTGAATTCTTCATAAAAATATCAGGATTTGGCAAATCTTCCCTGTAAAAATCTATAGCCTGTCTAATATCGGAGATCAAAAACTATTGTATGAGTTTTGATGGCGTAAGTTTCTGAATTGATGCTACTTGCTTTACATGTGCATCAAATCTGGAGGAAAGATTACTGATAATGTGGTCAAGAAAAAGAATGGTTATTGTTTTCTTAAAGTAATCCTCGACGGAACTGTATTCTACATTTGCACGTTGGGCTTATTGTTGACTAACTCGTACCATTCTAACATTAACATTAGATTTGCTTGCGATATCACTGCTGTGCTTGATGATACAGTGTGAATAATCATCTACGTTTACTCTTAGTGAAGTCAGCTATTTACATCATTGTTCTATTAGGGTAACACCAGAAAAAATGTCTTGACTTGGACCTTGCAAATTTACAGAAGGTTCTTTCAAATAGTAAAGGGAACGTTGTAAAGATGTTAAGCAAAGAATAAATTCAAAGGATTCCAGTAATTTTAGATAAGCCATAGCATTTTTCTTATCTTCAGTAGCCCAATTATCATTAAACATTTCAAAATTATCGTCTCCATACGCAATAACTCACACATGTGAAATATAAATAGATGACATAAATAGAACCTTTCCCAACCTTCAATATTCTCAAACCAGCGTATAATGAATACATTAAGTAGTGGAAGACGTGACGAAGCTTCTTTATGCTAGATGCCCTTTTGATAAATGAGTGCACAAGGCCTTGCTTTGCATATCTCGAAGTTGTTTTGGACACCAGATCTTTCGCCAGCCATGGTGGATGGTCCATCATATCCTTGACCACGCAGTTCATTTAGAGATTATCCAACATCAGTCACTATGTTTGTAATTGCATATACAATATCTGTTTCACTGACCCTCTGTAGCTTAACAAAGCCAATAAATTCTTCCCTAATTTCACAGTTGTCATCTACAAAGCGGAGAGATATTAGTAAGATGGTGAAATTATCACAGACTATATTGTAATAATTAATAGAGCAAAGAATAATAATTCGTGTCGTCAATTATATTCTAAAGTAATTGAACCTACCTGTGTGGATACATTTATTTAAAGCTCTAGGTACAACTGTGATAGCCAACAGTGTAACAAACATTTGTATATACATTTGACTTGTTTTAATATATTATTCTATCACAAATGGCTTGTGTTGCAGTTGTTTATTGTTGAAATTTATCGCCAACAAGTCATAGACACCTACTGTAAAGAATTCGGCCTACAAAACCTGAGACTAGCAATACGGCTTCGGACTTCCAATTACAAAGTGTCAACAGAAGCTATTGCATGCGACTATTTCAAACTTGAAAATGCTAATGCTTCATCAGAAGAATGTAAACTATGTAAAAAACGTTAAATACCATAAGCAGCTGCGCTATAACTATATAAGCATAATTTTTAATATCACAAAAAATAAGGGGTTCGGCCGAACCCCCTCGAATCCACTCCACCCCCGTGTATGTGCGTGGTAGTCTTTATCAACGGCCCCCAGTGGCACAACGGTGTGCCTGCGGACTTGCACCCCTAGAAACCGGGTTTCGATACTCGTGGTGGGCAGAGTACAGATAGCCCATTGTGTAGCTTTGTGCTTAATTCCAAACAAACAAACTTTATCAACGAAAAGTGGAATTGACCGTTACATTAAAACGCCCACACGGAAGGCGAGCATTTTTGAGACTGGGTTCAAACCCGCGACTCGTGCCCGGTAATGTATATAGTTAATTAAATGTAGAACAAAATGCAATCTGTGGCTCGAGGTTAAGCCATTTTTAAGACAAGTTAGTCTTGTTTCAGTTATAATTTTTACATTTCTAACGAAATCTTCATACCAGAAGTACAAAAAATTAATATTATTGAAAGGAACAACACAAATAAGATTACATGTCCTATAGCTTTTTATATTAAAGTTACTGGTAGATGATCTATTTAAAATTTCAAACTACGTAAAATCTGGTATACATAAAAGTTTTACTGTTTCTGTTAATGGTATCAGTGTAGATGGCGTTTATTGTGATTTACAATTTTTCTCAAGTTTGTTGAGGAAAGTAGCAAATAGGGTAGTTCACATAAGTTTATTGCTTTTAGTTTGAGTTTTTGTGTATTGTTATATATTACTGTATGACAACTTGATTTGGTTTGCGTACATTTTGAAATGCATTTCTCAATTCCAGATACACTGGAACTTAAAGATAGTAACGGAGGAACGTATATGGTATGTTATTTTTTTTAATCATTTAATGTTAATATTACTATTAGTATTACTGAGTATTAGCATTTGTGAATCATATGTGTGTGTGGGCGTTTATTTTTCGAATATAAAAAATAATAGTCCAAGTAGTTAACTTGTACTTACAGTACTATTACAATTGATTGTGATAGTAGTACTAGGCATATTACGTTTACAATTACAGACGATTAAACTTTAATTTAAAGCCAGTAACTTCAAAAGCTCAAAATGACAGGTGAAGCCTATCGTTAATTTTGCACACTGATGGTGTGTCGAGAGATAAACAATAAATGGTGACGCTAAGAAAACCAGTAACACTAACAATAATCACAATAAATTCTTTATCCACACCGACAGCATGATAAAAACTGACGCTACAACTTAAACATTTGAAGTAGCTTGATAAGTTATAGTGGCACAAATTTAAGCTAATGTTAAGAAATCGAAAGTTCTATGTATCAAAATAAGGCTGTGAAAAAAGAGAGTGTATTGGAAGTGTGTGTGTGTGTGTGTGTGAGGGGGGACACATTCAAAACTTGCAGAATAGACTAGGCCCTAGAAGAAGTTTTGATACTAGTTATTGGTAATTTGGTCTATCTTTCAAAAGTAAGGGTTAAGGGAAGTTGAAGAAACTGTTAGCATTATAATTTATAGGTCTATTGTTAATAAGGTGTTGAAAGAAAGAGAATTAATAAAAAAAGAACAGGCTTAGTGCATCATACTTGAGATGAGAATGAAAGTGGTAGAACTAAGGGACAAATATAAATTTTGGCAGAGTAGAAGTCACCTTCAGCTAAAACAATTTTATTTTTCTAATGGGGTGGTTGGTCTTTGGAATTTGTTGTCTTCAGATGTGGTAGATTCAGTAAATTTAAGTGAAGGCTAGATAAATACTTGATCAATAAGGACTGACTTTGAGGTTTTCTGTTTTGTTTTCCTTTGGATGGGGTGGTCAAGATGGATCAATCAGCTCTTTGTTCTTAAATTTTGTTCTGTGGTAGGAAGGAAGGAAATATTGGTGATAAATGGCCTCTTTGTTTTTTCCTTCTGATTATGAGAAGGATTAGTTTGGTCCATGAGGGCTTTGTTTTAGGATCTTTTTGTTTTTGTTTTCTCTTTGTTCATTATATTGATCAATGAACTGAATAGATCCCTTTGCAATGATACATTCAGATTGTGTTTTATGATGGTGTGAGATATGATTTCCTTGAAAATTATTATCTCATATTCGAAAGGACCTTAACAGTTTTAGTGACTAAACTAGATTGTGGAAAATTAGTCTCTCTTTTGTCATATATAATTTATGACATACTTATGACATGAAAATTTGGAAATAAGGATTTTAGGATAAAAGAAGGATTTATTTGTGAATGTTAGTGAAGTTAATGACTTAAATGTTCAGTAGTGTGTTAAGCATGAAAAGAGCAACAATGCTGTAAGCTTTATTAGAGTTTGAATTTAAGAGGAAGGAAGATATTATAGCCTTGCATAAAACTGGTGAGGACTTTGAATTCTATATTTTTTGTTACTCTGTAGTTTTGGTGTTCTTCCTAAAGGAAACCCAGTTGTCAAAATATAACTTGCATCAAACTCACTAGTATAGTAACATGCAAACAACATAATGTAGTCTTAAAGTAGATCTATGATTTCTTTCATTTGCACATTGTTTTTTCATCAGTACTTTAAAGCTAGCCTGATGATTAATGTAGAACTGTGACAAATCACACTTCAAGGGGTTGGTTCTTATCATTAGTCATTCACTCAAGATTTTGTCCACTGCCATTTTCTTGCATTTCATCTCAAAATATCTAGATTATTTACCAGAATTGGTATTTACATTTTGAAGTACTTATTTACCTTTTGATTAAATTATTGTTGTTATGAAGTATTTATGTTATTACCTTTTTGATATGTATGACCACACTATGTAATTTGATACTGTGGCCTGTGATTCTATCATGCTATTAGTTGTCAAATTTAAAATTAGGTTATTTCTGACAGTGACAAAAATATTATAAACTGTAGAGATGGCTGATATTGGTAATAAGTACTTTTTGTATTGTAGCATAAATATATATACAAAGGTCAAACTTAATTACATTTGTATATATTTGTGTTATCTAATAAAAAGTTTAAATCACCCATATCAACTGTTTCTACAATTTATTAGCTGCAGTTGGGTTCCTTGATATCACATTTTTATACACATACTTATTCTACTTGTCTAACTGTACAGTTTTAACAACTTATGACATTATAAATATAGGTTAGTGATGTCTAATGACGGAAACTTTTCCATTGTATTGTTGTTAACTGCAATATATTTCATCACTGTCAAGAAAAGTTCTATTGCCTTAGATGTTTGTTTTTTAAAGTGCTAATTCTGAGTTTTCCATTGCTTATGTTGAAGGCTAGTTTAACAGATGTTCAAAGCTATTCTGGCTCATTACATGTTACATTCTGTACCAATACAATTGGACAAATTAGTATGTTTTTCTTTGTACAAGACTTGGGATAACAAACAAGAGTGGAGATTGACAAAGTGTGTTAATTATATTGTTTGCATTTGTGATGTTATTTTGTAATCACCTCATAATTTCAATAGTTATAATTAGGTTTTTGACTGAAATAAAACAGTAGCTTGTTTGTTACATTATAAATCACTGTTGTGTAAAGTTATAAGGTGTCTCTGTAGGAATCCAAATGCTGAATAAAAGTCAGTGGAGATTATAGTTTCTTTGAAAATCTCTGGTTGGGCCCAGGCCTCATGTAGAATATTGTATTCAATTTTGAGCTCCTAACTTTAAGAAGGACGTTGAGTTGTTGGAAAGGGTTCAAAAGAAGGCTACTAGTGTGATTCCTGGGTTGAATGGACTGTCATATGAAGAAGTTTAAGGTCCTTAAGGTGATTTTCTGTTTAGAAAAGAAGGGTTAGAGAGGATCTGATTGAAGTGTTCAAGAAGTAGGTTTGATGCATCATCTTTTTTCATGTTTAATGATAATAGTACTAGGACTAGGGGACATAGATTTAAGGTTTGGAAGGGTAGTAGCCATCTGCAAATTAGATGGTTTTATTTTTCATACAGATGACTTTGAGGTGGTCCCTCCCATGGTCAGTTGGCTGGTCATGTATGGCTAGGGTCAACCGAGTGCTAGTGTTGGATGTCCTCAAAATGTGTTATGGACATTATATAGATGGAAGAGGATTGGGAGAGTTCAATAGAGGGCTTGCTATTAGTACTTGGGAAGTCAGGACTATATAAACAGTGTAGGCAGATAGGTGTTTGATAAAATGAGTGGGACAGCCATGATGAGCTAAGGGGTCCCTCAAATAGAACTAGATGACTTAATGTATTACCCATGAGCAGAGATTACATCTGTTAGTGTCATGTAAGCTAATCAATTAATCAAAATTCCTCTCAATGAAGATTCCTGTATGTGGTGAGGGGACCTCCAAGGGAAGGCTCTACCTATTCAGTTTACTTTTTCTGGGATCCAAAACATCCACCCACATGTCTGCCATGCATGGCAACTCACGAAGGGGAGGAAGGGATTCTGTTGGTTGAGTGATGTCTAGGACACTGTAGTACACCACTTTTGCCTTGAATTCTTATAGGCAGGTGGCTTTGAGGTGGTCTTCCCCCATGGTCACTTGGCTGGTCATGTGTGGCTAGGTTCAACTAAGTGCCAGTATTGGATGTTCCCCAAAATGTGTTGTGGACATTATATCCTGTGCTTGTGTTTGGGTTTAGTGCCCACGAAACCCTGGTATGGCTACACTGTCCTAGTTTGACAGTGTAGCATGTCCCCTTGTAGGACCCCATGGTGGATGGGATAAGTGGATACTGAATATTTTTCTTATAGATCCACTAAATCAAAAGCAAAAAAATAATTTGTAAGTGACCATAAGATCACAGTCTCTGTTAACACACAGTTGCCATCTCCTCTTCTTTCAGTACCTCATTTCTTGACTTTATACTCTAGATCAGAAAAGTCTGTCCCCCTTACTCTATACAAAAATACTTAGAGAGCCTTGTTGACTCTCCAAAGTAATTTAAGAAATTAAGATCTGGGGGTCTGTTGGTTGAAACTATATGACTGCATGATAGTGAACTCATGTTAAATTCCAAGTGTATTCAGTGTATGACTGCATGATAGTGAACTCATGTTAAATTCCAAGTGTATTCAGAATATCCTTGTTGAGGTTATCCCCTACACTACTTTGAATTCCTCACGAGGAACCATTGTTGAGAGAGGTCTTATTAACATCCCTGATGTGGAGCTTCTTGCTGGTCTCTCCAGTAAAGGAATATCAGCTGTGAGGTTATCTGCTCCAAAGAATGGAATTTCAGAGTCAACACAGGTTCTGATTGTGCTGTTTGCAACATGTCCAACTGCCACAGTTAAGGCAGGGTATCTAAAGTGCCCAGTCAGGCCTTACTTTCTAACTCTCTGATGTATCAACTGTCATAGTTTGGACACTCCAACACACATTGTTGTGTGATTCTGTAACTTGTGCTCATTGTGAAAGCAAAGACCATAATAATAACAAGTGCCAGTTAGATCCTCACTGTGTCAACTGAGCACTTATGTTCCCAACTCTCATATTATAGGTCATGTGCAAAATTCATTGTAGGGAAAGAGATACAGCATGTATTGTTTACAACTACTCTTACAAAACATAGTTATGCTGTTACACTGTGTTAAATTGTCGCAGTGGGTGTGCGAAAAGATATCTCTGCCCCACCCACAAAAATCTTTCTATACCCACAGATAAGCATGTACATGAATCCATGTCTACACCAATTTCTGTTCCCACCACTGCCAACAATGAATGACTGGGTTCTCCTCCACTGGGCCTGAGGTCAAGGGGGTAGTGAAGAGGGTCATCCCAGTTCTTCCAGGGTTTTATTCCTGTCTGTTTGTTGTGCCCAAGATGACAGGAGATTGACATCTGGTCATTGATTTTTCTCATCTAAATCAATTCCTAGATCCTCCAAGGTTCGCAATGTAGTCATTCCTCACTTCGCATTGGCATTTTTTTTACCAGGACTATGGATGACCAAGTTCGATATTACCGATGCCCATCTGCATGTTCCCATAGTGGACCCACTCTCATCATATCATCATACTAACTTGCCATGTTCTGGGGTGATGAATTTGTTGACAGATCAATTATCTCAACCTAACCAAATTCTCCTGACAGAATGGATGCTGCATCACTAGGATTTCCATTGGATTTGCTCTAAATTCAGAACACTGATGATTGATGCATTTGCCACTCTTTAGAACACTCAACTACTGGCATTTTGGTCTCCAGTACCTCACCCCTGGGCATTGGCAATAGATGCATTCAGTCAAGACTGGGCTAGATTGCACCTCTGTGCCCTCCCACTGATTCATATGTTGCCCAGAGTACTAACTATGATTTGTTTCACCCCTTGTCAGGTTCTGTTGATAGCATCAAGTTGGTTGGCTCAACCCTGGTTTCCATTTCTGTGGTACCTTCAAGAGTGCACACCTCTATCATTTCCTCTTTGGCCATCTCTGTTGAGGTTGCCACTATCCAACATCGTACACTCAGCCATCCTGAAGCTCGAGCTTCATGCATGGAGTTATGCAGTCCTTTGCATGGCATCGAGGTTTAACTTATAAGGTTGCCATGTATCTGTCTCATTCTTTACATAGTCCCCACGATGGACATTTATCAAAGGAGATGGCACATATGTCAACAGTGGTGTATTGTGAAGAAGTTGAACCCACTTCCTTCAGAAGTGCCAACCATAACTTGTTTTTTGACCTGGCTCTTTGACAAGGCTTTCTCATCTTCAACAATTTCCTTATATAAGATGGCCTTATCAACTATCTTTAGATCATTGAGATAAATTATTTGAGTGATCAGTGCTCTCTGGCATCCTTAAGTTGTTTCAGGTACTTTTCCCAAATGTTCATTTCAGTTATCTAACTGGGATGTTACTCTGATATTACATGCTCTTTTTCAAAATCCATTTGAGCCCTTAACCTTGTGTACCATGTATCACCTTCCCTTAAGGTTTAGTCTTTGTTGCTTCTGGTCTGCGGACATTGCTGGTTGGAGTTGTTTGTGCTGCATGTGCACAGGATGATTTATCATTCTACCTTTGTCATCCTATACCCAGACAGGTTCTTCTTCTGACCACTATTTGTCATGTCTATGACCTATCAAATCCTGATCATTTGTTATGTCCATGAAGGGCCTTGGAGTATTATGTTACTTGCACTAATGCCTTTAGGGATACTAGCCAGCAACCTTTTATTCATTGGGATCCTTCAGTTTTCCAGGATGTATCCCTGGTTACTTTTTTCGAGGTGGGTAAGAAACTTGATCCATATCTCTTATTCTGGGCTTTGTTTGGAGGTGAGGAGACTTCTGCAAGTCACATCTCATCTGATTTGTCACATTTCTATGTTCTCAGTAGCCCAGTTAGATTGGCCACTGGAGGACATTTTGTGGGCTGGTATGTGGAACTCCTCCAATACTTTTATCTCACATTGTTTACATGATCTGGCAGTATCTTCCTCTGAAGGTTTTTGACTACCCTCTGTAGCTATCTTAACTGTATCCAGTAGATTATAAGGAGGTATGAGTATCTTCATTACTAATATTGTCTCTTCTTTACTTTCTACGGTCTCTTACCTCCTTTTTACAGGATCCCATTCTGTGGCAAGTGTTGCCCAGGCAGATATGCTTTTATCAAACCAATTCTGCACTAGCATCCACTAATTCAATATACTTTATCTAGGTTGCAACAGGCTCTGTAGAAATGACATGTTCCATAAGACCACATAGGGGCTGACTGGGTGGTATTACTGTAATATGCTGGACTGCCACTCATAGACTACCATCAGTAAAGCACAAGGAGATCATTGGATTGAATAAATCGGGGTCAGTTTGCTTTTAAAAATTTAGGGAACTTGATTCACCTATTGCACTGTTTCCAGAGCATTGTTCCTCAATACTCCCCAACATGCATTACCCCCCAGATTCAACTTGTGGAGCTAACGAGTCCTTACCATACCTGGTTTTCAGTTACTATGGTGGACAGAGGCTATTACTCCAGAGTGTCTGAGTGAATTTCTTCCACTCTTGGAGAAGAGGGTGAAGTTGGGGGCCCTCCTACCTGGGACCCTGAGAATGTTCCCCCCCCTCCTTCCAGATATTGGTAGGAGAGTCACTAGCCTACTCATAATACTGGTTTGGATTTGACGCTTGGCTATCCGGTTTTGAGCATGGCCCTTCATTTTGATCAATATTGGTTCAGTACATCATTCATGGAAAAGGTCCATTGTCTCCTCGTAATTCTGAATCCAGAGTGGTCCCATCCTGGGTCTTTGGTTGAGTACAGTTTATTCCATGTCCTCACCATAATTATGGAGACAAGTGAAATATACTTTTCCCACATGGTTGGGGAGTGAGGATGATTGTTCATAATTCCAGACTGGATGAGTTCTGTTTCCTCAGGTTGAGTATGGCATACAGGATCCAATCATTCCAAGGTTGGGGTGTTCCCTTTCGAACTTCTTCAGGTTGAGGAAAGGGCTTGTTCACTTCTGTGTTACTAACCTTTGTGTCGTGATACCAGTAGCTTGGAATGCATCACTCTATAGCTACAGGTTGGGCTACACTCAAAAGTATATATATTGTGGCCCAAATGCCCTAGCTACCAACATTGGATTTAGGGACCATGGCTCTATAATTCCATCTCTGAGCAGTGGAACCTCTTTTATCTCATTGGGGCCTGACCAGTAGTGATGATGGATAATGTCAAATTCCACCCGTAGTGCATGAATTACATTCCTGGTGAAGAGCATACTTGTTCTGGATGTAGTGCAGTTCCCCCACTAATCTTCTATTGGCATGCCCATGATCTATGCAGACGCATTCTGAATGGATAATGCTCTCACCGGCCCCTCTCATGGGTAAGTATTTTTTAGAAGTTGACATTTTCTTAAATTGAAAATGTATTTCCAATAATAATTTACCTCCTCTCCCACCCTTCCTTCCCACTAAAAGCCAGTGTTAGAAACTGCAAATTAGGTCAGTCTCAAAAAATTGATAATGTCTGAAGGAGATGTTTATATACAGTACCAGGATAGAGAGTGCATTGACATAGGTAGAGAATGTCACAAGACAGACATTGCCAAGGGCAAGTAAGTGGGAAATAAAAGACTGGAGGAAGCTAGAAAAAAATTAGACCATTGCTTAGATGGGTAATGGAAGGAAAGAGGAGGTAAGTATTGTTGGAAATAACTTTTCCATTTAATAAAATGGTAACTTTCCTCATATTTCTGAAGGAGATTAGTCATGGTCAGTGTTATCCAACTCCTGCCCAGTTCGAAGCTGGAGAGGGCTGTCTGGTCCTCCATCACCTCTCTCTCAAAGCTTGATTCTGTTGTCATTAGCATACCTTCTGTTAATGACAGCATGGATGCCTTGTAATTTGAGGGTCTTTGGTTCAATTACCATTGGCACCAAACTTATTTGCCATGTCTTTGATATGGCTGTTTTTTGTATTACAGGGGAAATACTTACCATGGTTTAATTAGGGAACACTACTTATTGATTAATCAAATGTAATTCATTATTGGGTCCTTAAATTAATTGATTATCAAATATCACTAATCATCTAGCTCTAATATAAAGTGTACTAGTTTTTTGTCGTGTTTGAAAAAAAAAATTGTTTTTCCCTCTGATTTTGCAAGTTTATGAAATTTTACTTGGAGGTCAAAACCATGGTTTTACTATGTTATACAAGTCATTTTAAACTTATTAGCAATTTGTCTGGTTCAAAAATAATTATTTATTTTCTAATCATTTGTTTTGGTTTTACAACTTGTTACCTGGGTATTGGAGTTCAAAGGATATTTTAAATATTTCAAAGTATTTTTATTGAACTTAGTCAGAAAGTTTGTACAAAGTTATATTAAAAAATCTACAATTAAGGTAAACATTTATAATGGCTTCTTAAAGAAATGTTGAAATGAAATCTTTTTGCAAATTCATACCAATATCATATATAAAAAATATTTTATTTGCAGAAGTTACATAGTCTGTAGAAACTTGAAGTTTCAAACTATTTTATTAGTGGTTTGCAATGCGAACCATACAACGTGTGTATCAAAATGACACTTCCATACATTTTAGAGTTACTTAATTATAGAAGACGCTAGTTCTATATATGAAGATCATATCAAACGTGTATTTTAAACATTGTAAAAAACTTTTATAATTATGTGAACTTTTTGAATAAAATCCTGAGAGTTATTGTTGTTCCACTTGTAATTATTGTTTGTTTGTTTTTTCTAGGGGTACAATATCCACATCAATGGGGCTTATCACTGTACCATTCGATATAAACAGTTGCACAGTTTTAATGAACAGGTAACTTTAGGATTATGTGTGTTTCAAATATATATATGTTACAGTTCTTGGTAAGGAAATGATGGAGCAGCAAGGGGTTAACAGTCACAATGTACTTTCAACAAGACTTTAATATTTCCTTACCTTTTATTTGAATGTATCTATACAATCAAGTTTAGCATACGCTTCAGTAAGACTCTTTGTCAATTTGAATTATTTTTCTGCTATTGATTGTTACATTTATTTTTATAATAAACAATAAGCAACTAACTATTACAACCTGTATTTTTTGTTGTTCATTTACTATTACTATTACTAAATATGCATGATCTGATGAATAGTAGGCTAATGTAATCTAGATTTGACATTTTTTCACTCACTAACTGGTTAAAATGGTTTCATTTTAGTTTTTTTTCATCTATTGTATATGAATTATTGAATAGCAAGCTGATTCAAAAAATGTATTCATGTTTATCACTTATGCAAGATATGCTTACAGTAGGTTCATACTGCAGTTTTTCTTTGTCACTTTTTTGTCATCAAACAAAATAATGAACTGAAGAGTAGCATGAATCTGTGATCATTAAAGTACATATACATGATAAAAAATACACATACAACCAAGACAGCATTTTGGTTGTGTTCCTCCCTTTGTTGCAAAATATAAGCTTAGAAATCATATTAGATACATATATGTTAGAAATTTTGTTTTGTTTTGCTACTGGCCTACACAATATTGATCTAGTATTGTATATTTTTCTTTCTGATTTTTTTTATGCATCATGAGTCACTTTATGACAGCCTAACAATGCATATTTGATGTAGAAAATATCCACCTTGAATATGAAGAAATGATATAATGAAAGCATGAATTCAAATGTGTTTATTGAATAGTGAACATTAGGATTTATGTCTGTAGTAATTCATAAACAGATTTACACATTTTTGGAATCTAAATAATATTTTTATTGAGAACAAAAGAATACATAAAATGAAAAGAATGCTGGTCATGACACAGCTGTGCTATTGTAATAATGTACAGCATAGTAAACTCAAGTTTGGTGGATGTTGTTTTGAAAGTTTTCTGTTATCCAGAAGACTTTTGAAACGTTGTCCTCTACACTTGTGTTTCTTACAACAGGCAGTTGTCATCCATTCCAGTTTACTCATCATGAATACTCTGCCTAAACAACCTATCAAAGAATACAGCATAGCAGTTGTGAATTATGTTGTTATTCATAATGGTTAAGATATATATATATATATATATAGAAAGGCAGAGTTCTGTCTCAGGATGGATTTCCATATCTAATTAGAAATAAGACTAAATTT